TCAAATGCTATAGCCTTTAGTGGGTCATGCTATATGGGGTACAAAGAGTTAGGGTTACCGTAGGTACTTGTACCCCAACACAATCAATGCAACCCATTCCGCTGTAGCCACTTTCTGAGATGGTATCAGCTAGGTTCCTTGCTCCTAGGCCCTAGGTTAGTTCCCTAGCTCGCCAGACACGCCAGCGTGCTGAGTCCTAAGCCGCCAGTCAGCCAGCCAGCCAGCTGCCCCCTAGCGCGCCACGCCGCCGGTCGACCTGTAGCGCGACCTGTTCCTTAGCCACCGCGCCACCCGCCCGTAGGCCCGCCCGCAGGCCCGCGCGTCGCGCTGCCCGTAGGCCCGCCCACAGGCCCGCGCGTCACGCTGCCCGTAGGCCCGCCCGCAGGCCCGTGCGTCGCGCTGCCCATAGGCCCGCCCGTAGGCCCGCGCGTAGGCCCGCGCGTCGCGCTGCCCGTAGGCCCGCCCGCAGGCCCACGCGTCACGCTGCCCGTAGGCCCGCCCGTAGGCCCGCGCGTCGGGACTCTCGTAGGCCCACGAGTCGACCCGCCAGTAGGCCCGCCCATCAACCCGCCGAGCCGCCCGTTGGCCTGCGTGTCACGCCGTCCGTAGGCCCGCGCGTCGACCCGCCGTGCCGCCCGTAGGCCCGCGCGCCGCGCTGCATGTAGGCCCGCTCGTCGACCTGCCGAGCCGCCCGTAGGCCCGCGCGCCGCGCAGCCCGCCCGTCGACCCGCCGCGCCACCCGCAGACCAGCACGCCGCACCAACCGCCAGGCAGCGCACTGCGCCGCCCGCCTGTCCACATGCCGCGCCACCTACCTGCCTGCATGCCTCCACGCCTGCTCACGCGTTACTGATTGTCTCCCCCTCCTGCGGCTGGCAGCCGCGCGCTCTCAGTTTCGCCCTCTATGGCGACCTCCCGAGTACTTCGTTTCGACCCTGAAGGGCGACCTAAAGATTTTAGCACGTAGCTTACGCAGGCGCAGCGCCACCTTAAGAGCCAGCGGCAGGATGGCGTGCACCTGTTCGCACACGCGTCCGGCGCTCAGAAAGCCCCTCCCCAGCCTCAGCCGCTGCCTACTACTCCACCGCCTACTTCTGAGCAGGAGGCCGACTACCAGCGCCAGCTCCTCGCTCGCGACGTGTGGGAGTCTCGTGACGCCGCTGCCTGCCTCGCCCTGACCGACCTTCTCCCGCCGACAGAGGCAATCCACTTCGCTCAGGTCGAGTCAGCTGCAGATTTGTATAAGGCTATTGTTACTCGCTACTCCACTCCCTCCTCTGCTTCGCTCAGTCGCCTCCTCGTACCCTTTATCTACCCTGACCACGCCTCCTTTAAGACTGTCTCTGAACTCGCTACCCACCTGCGCTCCCTTGATTCTCGCTTTCGCGCTGCTTGCACTGAGGACCAGCTTGCCCTTGCCCCACCCCCTATGTGGCTCACTATTCACTGGCTAGTCACTCGCCTCCCTGGCCGCCTAGCCACAGCCCGCGACGCGCTTCTTCTGAAGCACCCCACTGAGCTTACCATCGATCTTCTTGAGACTGCTCTCTCGAAGATCGAGAGCAACCTCCTCGCTGTTGCCTCTGCCTCTTCCGCGCCTCCTCCGTGTCAGGTGTAGTTGCTGCGTCGTGCTCGTGTCGGTCGCTTGCCCACCCCTCCCTCCTCTGGCACCACCGCCTTGGTCACCCTTCCCTCCCTCGTCTCCGCGCTATGTCCAGTCAGCGTCTTGTCTTAGGCCTCCCCCAAGTCCTCCCGCCACTCCCGCCGTCCCCAACTCCTCCGTGCGGTCCTTATGTCCAGGGTCGGCTGCGCGCCACCCCTCACTCCTCCTCCCTTCGTCCGGCCACCGAGCCCTTCGAGACTCTCTACTTAGACGACTGAGGCCCCGCTCCCCGTCTTGGCCCTCAGCGGGAGAGTTTCTTTCTGGTGGTCGTTGATGACTACTCTCGGTACACCACCGTGTTCCCTTTGGCGAAGAAGTCCGACGTGACTTCTACGCTGATCCGGTGGCTCCTCGCCACCGAGGGCACTCGCGGTCGTCGTGTCAGTTGTCTTCACTCCGACCGTGGGGGTGAGTTTTGCTCCGGCATTCTCGCCAGATTCTGGGCTCAGCAGGGCATCACCCAGTCCTGGACTCTTCCAGACTCTCCACAGCAGAATGGGGTTGCTGAGCACCGCTTAGGCCTGGTCATGGAGATCGCCCGCACCTCCGTGATCCACGCCCGCGCGCCCCATTTCCTGTGGCCCTACGCGGCTCGATAAGCCGCTCACCAGCTGAACCTCTGGCCTCGCGTCTCTCGGCCAGGGGCTTCACCGACCAGTCTTTGGACAGGGTCCCCTGGTGTTGCGTCGAGGTTTAGTGTCTGGGGCTGCTTGGCTCTTGTCCGCGACACCTCTGCGGACAAGATCTTGCCTCGTGCTGTCCCCTGTGTCTTCCTTGGTTTCCAGAGGGCTCCTCTGCCTTCACCTTTTACCACCCTCCCTCCCACTGGTTCTTTGACTCTCGTGACGACCGTTTCGACGAGTCCGTCCCCTACTACGTCCGGTACCCCTGTCGAGGTCTCCCGGTTCCCCCCCCCTCCCCTCTTCCTGGCTCCAGCTCCTCCTCCTCCCGCCCCTGCTCCTCTGGTACCCCCCCTTGTCCCCGCTCCGTCTAGTGTGTCCTACGCTACTCCCCCCCCCTCGGTACCCCCCCAGGTCTCTCCTCCTTCCCCACAGTCGTCCTCACACCCTCCGCAGCAGCCGCCGGCGCTTCCTTTACCGGCCACTGCGGACTCTGAGGGTGTTGGTGCTCGAGGTGAGGGCTCTGGGGGTGCTCGCTCTGGGGGTGCTGGCATTGGAGCTGTTCGTGCGCCTACATGAGCAGCCCATTCTGGGGGTGTTGGCATTCGCGCTGAGCGTGCACCTGCCGCAGCTGCCCGTTCTGAGGGTGCTGGAGCTGGTGGTGTTTCTGGAGCTGGAGAGTCTGGGGCTGGTGCTCGTGCCACTGGAGGCACCACGACTGGGGGTGCGGGTGCGCCTCCTGCTCGTGCTGGTCAGGCTGCCGCGGGAGGTACTCGCTCTGGGGGTGCTCAGCCGGGTTTTGCTGCGGACGGAGCCGGTTCTTTAGCTGCGTCTCCTGACACCACTCCTCCTCCTCACCTCTACCCGACTCGTTACCAGACCCTTCTTAGTCTTGAGCGTGAGGAGCAGCAGCGTTTGGAGCGTGAGAGGTCGGAGGTTCAGCGACGGGTGGAGCGTGAGAGGTTGGAGTTGCAGCGGGAGCAGCAGCAGCCGCAGCAGCAGCCGCAGCAGCAGCAGCAGCGGCCGCAGCAGCCGGAGCGGCCTCCGGCCCCTGTTTCTGGCCTTCAGGCCCTTGGTCTCCCCTCCTCTCCTCCCGTGTTCAGTCCTACGTTTCCTCCTCCGGACTCAGCTCCGGCTGTGTTCCCTCGTTCTTAGTCTCCTCCGTCTCCCCCTCCACTCGCCCACACTTGGACCTCTCGTCCTCTTCGTGCTTGTCCCTCGTCCCCTGTCACTGACCTCCGTACCGCTTTGTTTTGTTCTAGTCCTCCTCGTCCTCCTCAGTGTGTTCTTCCTCGTCCTCCTGAGTCGTCCCTCACTGCCTCCCTGTCCACTTCGGTCTCTGACTACTACCGCACGTACCGCCCCACTCTCTCTCGTGTTCTCACCTCTCTTGTAAAAGACCCTCGTGCCTCTCCTTCCTCCGTCGCGGTCCTCACTGCCGCTGTCACTGACTTTACTGCTACGCGTCTATCAAACTTATATGCTATAGTCTGTGTAGGCTGTAGTGGGGTAGACAATATGGGGTACAACATTTCTAGGTTTTCCTACTTGTACCCACCTCTTTCCTAGTTCATTCATCCCTCATTCTTCACAGGGTATAGAGCAGGTTCCCTCGTGGGAACGCTTCTCAGAGCCCACCACTGAACTCGATCTTTTCTTCCTGCCCGAGGCGCGCCCCGTAGGCCGCCCTCACGTCGCGCCCTCCTAGAGGCCCCTCGCGCCACCCTTAGCGGCCCCGTCGCCACCCCTTACGGCCCCGTCGCCGTCCTTTGCGGCCCCGTCGCCACCCCTTACGGCCCCGTTGCCGTCCTTTGCGGCCCCGTCGCCGCCCCTCTAGGCCCCACACGGCCCCTTCGCGGCCCGGTCGTCGCCCCTCTAGGCCCCGTAGCCGCCCCTCTAGGCCCCTCGCGGCCCCTTCGCAGCCCCGTCGTCGCCCCTCTAGGCTCCGTCGCCGCCCCTCTAGGCCCCTCGCGGCCCCTTCGCGGCCCCGTCGCCGCCCCTATCGGCCCCGTCGCCGCCTCTCTACGCCCCTCGCGGCCCCTTCACGGCCCCGTCGCCGCCCCTAACGGCCCCGTCGCCGCCCCTATCGGCCCCGTCGCCGCCCCTCGCGGCCATGTCGCCGCCCTTCGCGGCCCAGTCGCCGCCCCAAGCGGCCTCGTTGCCGCTCTTCGCGGCCCCGTCGCCGCCTCTAGCGGCCCCGTTGCCGCCCTTCGCGGCCCCGTCGCCGCCTCTACCGGCCCCGTCGCCGCCCTTCGCGGCCCCATCGCCGCCTCTACCGGCCCCGTCGCCACCTCTACCGGCCCCTTCACCGCTGAGCCGCACAGCAGCTAAGCCGCCGAGCTGCCAAGCCGCCCAGCAGCCGAGCCGCCCAGCAGCCGAGCCGCCGAGCCGCCCAGCACCCGAGCCGCCGAGCCGCCGAGCCGCCTAGTAACCGAGCCGCTGAGCCGCCCAGCAACCGAGCCGCCGAGCCGCCTAGCCGCCCAACAACCGAGCCGCCAAGCCGCCGAGCCGCCCTGCCGTCAAGCCGCTACTGTTCCTACCGGCGTGCCCCGGCCCTACTTACTCGGACTGGTGAGATCACTCCATGCTAGACCACTGCTGTCATGGCTACCCCCAGTGTCCTTACCTTTGATGCTGAGGGTCGTGCTGTTGACTTTGAGGTCTGGGTCGATGACCTCCAGCTGTTCCTATAGTGCGATAGGGCAGACGGACTCTCTATGTTCGATCTCACCTCTGGTGCCTCTCCTGCCCCGCCGACTACTGCTGACAGCACTGTTCGCTCCCAATGGGCCACACACGATGCTGCTGCCCGTCTTGCTGTGCGTCACCACTTACCGACCACTGAGCGTGCGCACTTTAGTCAGTACAAGAGTGCTAAGACCTTGTACGACGCTGTAGTTGCACGCTTCTCTTTCCCTGCCACTACTGCTCTTAGCCGCCTCATGCTGCCGTACCTGTTCCCACAAACGCTGACCTCATTACGCACCTTCACACTAGTGACACTCGCTACCGCGCTGCGCTTCCTGCTGAGTTCTGTGCCAAGAACCCCCCCCCCCCATGTACATCACCCTCTACTACATAGTCGCCTGGCTCCCTGAATCCCTTCGCTTAGTAAGGGACCACTTCTTCTCAGTTTGCCCCACCACACTCACCGTTGACCTCCTCGAGGAGCGCCTCCTAGCAGCAGAGAAGAGCATAGTTGCTGTAGGAGCCTCTCATGGTGACCATCGCACCCCCGTCTTTGAGGGGTGTTCCCCCTCCCCCCTCTTGCCCTCTGTTGCTTCTGCTGCTGCGGCCGACCTCGTTGGCTTCGAGTCGCTCGGAGCTGCGTCTGCCCCTAGCGGGAGACGCCGCACCGGTAGGGGCAAGGGGGGCAAGGGCGTTGGAGGGGCTGGCGGGGGCGGTGGAGTTGGTGGTGGAGGCAGTGGAGGGGGTGCGGGTGGTGGTGGGAGTGGTGGCGGGGGTGGAGGTGTTGGTGGCAGCAGTGGAGGCGGCGGCGGTGGCGGAGGGAGCGGAGGCGGCGGAGGTGGCAGAGGCGGCGGAGGTGGCGGAGGCGGCGGCGGCAGCGGTGGAGCTGGTCGCGGCTCTGCGCAGAGGAGTGGTTCCGGTGGTGGTCCGCGCCAGCAGCAGCAGCGCAGTCGTGAGACCCTGTCCCCCCAGCAGCTTCGTGAGTGGTACGCTGGGCGTCAGCGAGGTGGGGGTACTGGTCCCTGCACCTACATCCTCCGTACCGGCGACCGCGCTGGTGAGCAGTGCGGGGGCCCGCACTCCACCCAGCGCTGCTTCGGCCGCCTGACGGACGCGTGGCGTCACCAGTTCCCTGACGCCACTGAGATCCCTCCCCTCGTTGTCTACGAACTTGGTGAGTGGAGCTTATCTACAGGACAAGGGGGTTGACCAGTTCACTTCTGCGAGTCAGCGGGTGACCCACTGTACGTGTGCTCGGACAAGCCGACACTTGGCCACGTTTACCCGTCGGCCGGGGTCGAGCCTGAACACACTGACTACTAAGTCTCCTCCGGTTGTTGAGTCTGGTCAGGTAGCTGTGTCGAGTCAGGTGTTTGCTGCAACGTCCAGGTCCTGCGTCTGCTCCCTGCTCGTGTCGTCTCCTGTCCCACCAGACTCTGCTTTGGCACCACCGCCTTGGTCACCCCTCCCTGCCTCGTCTCCGAGGCATGGCCTCCCGTGTCCTCGTCTCTTGTCTCCCCCGGTCCCTCCCTCCCCTCCCTCCGGGGCCTGCCCCTACCTGCGTTCCCTGCGTCGAGGGGCGGCAGCGCGCCGCCCCTCACTCCTCCGAGTTTCCTCCGACAGAGGCTCCGCTGCAGACTCTTAACATGGACGTGTGGGGCCCCGCCCGCGTCAGTGGCCAGGGTTACGAGCGTTACTTTCTGTTGGTGGTTGACGACTACTCGCGTTACACCACAGTCTTCCCCTTGCGCAGCAAGGGTGACGTCCCTGAGGTGTTGATCGACTGGATCCGCGCAGCTCGTCTCCAGCTCAGAGAGAGTTTTGGCTCGGACTTTCCTGTTCTGCGTATGCACTCTGACAGAGGCGGGGAGTTTTCCTCTGCCCGTCTGGGAGCCTTCTATCGTGCACAGGGCATCCGCCAGACCTTCAAGCTTCCGGCCTCTCCACAGCAAAATGGGATTGCTGAGCGCCGCATTGGCATGGTTATGGACGTCGCTTGTACGTCCATGGTCCATGTGGCTACCCCCCATTTTCTGTGGCCGTTTACGGTCCAGTACGCACCGCATCAGCTCAACCTTCAGCCCCGGGTCTCCTTGCCAGAGACCTCCCCCACCTTGCGGTGGACGGGGAAGGTTGGCGATGCGTCTGCGTTTCGGGTCTGGGGATCTCGGGCGTTTGTCCGCGTTTTGTCTGCGGACAAGCTGTCCCCCCGTGCTGTTCCCTGCGTCTTCCTTGGCTTCCCCCCTGACGCGCCTGGGTGGCAGTTTAACCATCCCACCTCGCGCCGTGTTCTTTCCTCCCAGGACGTCACCTTTGACGAGTCGGTGCCTTACTACCATCTCTTCCCCTACCATACTGCGCCCCTCCCTCCGCCGCGGCTCTTCCTTGCGCCAGGTCCTCCCCCGGTAGACCCTCTCCCCCCTCAGGGTCCTGCCCCGTAAGGTGTGTCCCAGGTAGATGCAGTCGAGCCCGTCGAGGTAGCTGTTTACTCTGGTGCTGCTAGAGGTGCTGAGCCTGCGGGTGCCGGGTCAGGAGGTGCTGAGCCTAGGGGTGCGGAGCCTGGGGGTGCTGAGCCTAGAGGTGCTGGGCCTGGGGGTGCTGAGTCTTGGGGTGCTTAGCCTGGGGGTGCGGAGCCTGGGGGTGCTGAGCCTGGGGGTACGGAGCCTGGGGGTGCTAGGTCTGCTCGTGTGGCCTCTGGCGGTGCTTCGTCGAGGCGGGAGCTACTCTCTCCGCAGAAGCTGCGCGAGTGGTTTGCCCGGCGCTGGAGCTGTGCTGCTACAGCTGGAGGTGCTACTGTTACTCCTGGTCCTGGAGGTGCTCGTACTGACGGTATTGGAGATGCTGGGACTGGGGATGCTGCGGAGGCTGCTGGAGTTGGTCCTGCTGGAGGTACTGCTGGGGCAGCTGGAGCTGGAGCTGCTGGGCGTGTTGGCGCTGGAGGTGCTACTGGCGTTGGTGCTGTTGGAGCTCCTAGAGCTGCTGGAGCTAGAGCTGCTGTGGGTGTTGGCGCTGGTGGTGCTGCTGGCGCTTGTGCTTCTGAGGGTGCTGGAGCTGGCGCTATTCGAGCTGGAGGTACTGCTGGCGCTGGTGCTGCCTCTGGGGGTACTGGTTCTGGAGGCGCTGCGCGGCCGAGGCCGTACTTCGTTCTGCTCCTTGAGCAGGTTCTTGGTCTCCCGCCCTCTACTGGTCCTGCTCCTCCCTAAGAGTGTCCTCAGCCTGTCCAGTCGCGGTCACAGTTAAGCCCGCCTCCCCCCTACCTGCTCCTTCTTCCTACACTAGTCCTACTGGAGGTCTTGCTGAGTGTCGTGAGCCTGCGTCTCGTCCTGCGTCGCCTGTTCGTGCTGCTCGCACTAGTAGTCGTGCTCCGCGTCCGCGTCCTCCTACGGTCCCACGCACACACCAGATGGCACTGCGTCCTTCCACTGCTCCTCTGCGTGTCCCGTTGCCGTCTCCTCCAGAGTCCTCTCTTCCTGTTCTTGCTGACCCGGAGTCTGACTCTCTTCTTGCTGCCAGTCCTACTGTCATGCGTCTCCTGGCCACTGCTGTCACTGACCCTTCTTTTGAGTCCACTGCTGCGTCTGCCTTAGTTGCTAAGCTTGTCGACTTTGCTACTCGTTGTCGTCTAGACTAAGCCACTAGTCTCGTTGCTGAGTTTGAGTCTGTCTGTCCTCCGTCCTTCGGGGGTGAGTGTGCTCTTAGCACGAACGTCCTTGAGGACAGGCAGGAGGAGTTCCAGTGTTATGCTCCTGCTTTGCCTCATCTCGTGTCCACACTGATTGCCCCTGAGGGAGACCCGGATGCACCAGACATCCCGACTCCTCGATCGTATGCTGAGGCGATCGAGGGTCCCTACTCCTCACAGTGGCAGTCAGCCATGGGCGCAGAGATGGCTTCTGGAAGTCCACAGGCACCTACGTCGACAAGGTTCCCCCACCTGGGGCGAACATCGTCAGTGGCATGTGGATTTTCAGGGTGAAGCAGCCGCCGGGTTCTCCGCCTGTCTTCAAGGCGCGTTACGTGGCTCGAGGTTTCAGTCAACGGCAGGGAGTTGACTACTTTCAGACCTTCTCTCTCACCTCGAAGATGACCACTCTTCGGGTGCTGCTGCACATAGCCGCTCAGCGCGACTACGAGCTTCACTCTCTTGACTTCAGCACAGCTTTCCTGCAGGGCAGCCTACACAAGGAGATCTGGCTGCGCCGCCCACCTGAATTCACTGGGTCGTTTCCTCCTGGTACCCAGTGGAGCCTCCGGCGGCCAGTCTACGGTCTCAGCCAGGCGCCCCGTGAGTGGCACGACACACTGAGGACTACACTTGCGGCTCTTGGGTTTGCTCCTTCTACTGCCGACCCGTCGTTGTTTCTGCGCACCGACACCTCTTTGCCGCCGTTCTACATCGTCGTGTACGTCGACGACTTGGTCTTTGCCACTGCTGACACTGCTGGACCCGCCCACGTGAAGTCAGAACTGCAGAAGAGACACACGTGCACAGACCTGGGTGAACTGCGCAGCTACCTTGGCTTGCAGATCACCCGGGACAGAGCACAGCGCACTATTACCCTGACTTTGGCGCTTCAACTTCCCGTACTCCTCGCCTCAGGCCACTCCTCCATCTACTCGCCACTTGCTCTCAGCTCTGCCTTCGGATGAGTCCATAGAGCCGAGTGGCCCATACCCAGAGCTTGTTGGCTGCCTCATGTACCTGATGAGCTGCACACGACCTGACCTAGCATACCCTCTTAGCATCTTGGCACGCTATGTTGCTCCTGGGAGACACCGACCAGAGCACATGGCTGCAGCGAAGAGGGTGTTGCGCTACTTGTGCAGTACGTCGGGCATGGGGCTAGTGCTTGGAGGGCGACGTCGAGTGGTCCTCACAGGTCACGCAGACGCTTCTTGGGCTGACGACCAGGCTACGCAGCGGTCGTCACAGGGTTACACCTTCAGCCTTGGCTCCGGCTTTGTTTCGTGGCGGTCTACCCGTTCGTCTTCTGTTCTCGGCTCCAGCTGTGAGGCTGAGATCTACGCAGGGGCCATGGCTGCACAGGAGCTACGCTGGCTCACCTACCTGCTGATTGACCTAGGAGAGCCGCCTAGTTCTCCTCCAGTTCTGTACGTAGACAACAAGGCCATGCTGGCCTTGTGTCGGGAGCACAGACTGGAGCACAGAACGAAGCACATTGCTCTTCGCTACTTCCTTGCTCGTGAGCTGCAGCAGCGTGGTCAGGTGCACCTTGCTTACGTGGCCTCTGAGGCCAACAATGCTGATATCTTTACCAAGGCACTTCCGCCTTATGATCATCAGCGCTTCTATACGATGCTAGGTCTTGTGCCTACTTGGCCTCACTTGCACACTTCTTGACCTTGCTTGTACTGTGATCTTTCTATACCTGCACTTGCTTGTTTACCTTTATATATGATCTTGCATGTGAACTAGCCTTGTGGCCTTGCTCTTGTTCTCGGAATGTGTGGTGACGTTGTGATCCACCCTGAGCTTGCTTTGCTTTGCTTGACTGGTCTTGTGACCTCTTGTTCTCCCCCACTTTGCCTATGGGGGTGTGTCAAACTTATATGCTATAGTCTGTGTAGGCTGTAGTGGGGTACACTATATGGGGTACAACATTTCTAGGTTATCCTACTTGTACCCACCTCTTTCCTAGTTCATTCATCCCTCATTCTTCACAGCGTCGCCTTGACTACGCCACTCGTGTTTTGGCCGCTCCTCCTGTCCGTCCTCTGTCCGCCAGGGGTGAGTCTGCCCTTGGCTGTGACGTCCTAGATGACAGACAGATTGAGCTAGAGTTCCTGGCAGCTGCTTCACCTCCTCTCTGTGCCATGCTCCTCGCTCCTGAGGGAGACCCCGACGCTCCTGACATACCTACTCCTCGCACTTTCGCTGAGGCAGTGTCAGGGCCTTGGGCCTCTCAGTGGAGAGCTACCATGGACGCAGAGATGGCCTCCTACAGGTCCACAGGCACTTACTTCGACAAGGTTCCCCCCCCCGGGGGCGAACATCGTTGACAGCATGTGGATCTTCAAGGTGAAGCGGCCGCCGGGATCTTCCCCAGTCTTCAAGGCACGCTACGTGGCTAGAGGGTTTAGTCAGCG